AAAACGAACTGAACGTGTAAACGCCAGATTTTCGTTCAGTTCATCTGCACAGATCTGGCTTGCGCAAGCCAAATCGTTCAGATGGCTTGAACGTGTAAACGGGCTTTAACATTAATGCAGTGGTTTCTCTTTGCCTTCTGCATTCTCATGCCGTTGGCCATCCGCCTTTAGGAGTGATTTCTCACTCCAAGGGTATGAAAAATATTTTGATGACTTCTTTATCAGTTCCACATAATTAATAATAATTCAAGCAGCAGTAATGTTAAGACCTAGATTCTAATCGAACAGCTCATCTCAAACGCGTCCACCTACACACGTTATTGTATAACCGATTGCCTACTACACATGTGTAATTGCGTTATAAAGGGTGATCGCTCAGGTACTGACTACATGACAATCACAATGTTGACATTTCAGGCTTAAACAATCATTTGCTATTATTATTCTAAATATACAATTTTGTAATGAGTAATGACTAAACAATAATATAAAGAAACGTAATCAAAGTTCGCATTAATTTATTCATTGAAGCTATGATTAACTAGAGTGTTAAGCGGTGTATGATATAGGTAATACATATAAGATTATTAAATAACTTTTTTGTAAGTGAATTAACAAATGATATGGACCTTTTGTACAAGAAAGTTGTAAACAAGCAAGGAAATTCCCAAAGAGTTTGTAAATATAATTTATCTATCTAAGTATTATCTTGCTATTTAACTAATAGTAGGACGGTTAACGAAACATGCAGAAAAAATGTTTCTAATGGTAACCTTATCGGCGTTTATCTGAATCACATAGACATTAATTCGCAGTTCTGCACCATTATATAATTGATAATATTCGTTTAATATTTCAGATAGATGAAGATGGTCACTCAGTACAACTTCTCATACTGTTCCCCAAATGCTTCTATTTGGGACGTTCGGGTTGATAATGGTGTTAACCCATGTTTTATGGACACACTAACTAGTTCTATAATTGCTGGATTTATTTTAATAGCTGGTAAGTAGGTCCACTTAAAGCTTAAAATATATACTGTTATCCTCAAATATGTGCATTTATCTCCAAATAACAAGTACAAGGGTATAAGTCAAACGTAAAAAAAATAATTTTATAGTGTATCATCCAGGAAAATCACATTTTATCTCAACAATAGTCAAAGATTAATTAAATATTATGACATTATATTTGACTTCCTTGAGCGAAATACGTTTCAAATCAATCATAATGTAAGGCAGGCCATTTTCAAAATAATGTTTTTTTCTGCTAGACGCAGAAAATTTTAACGGACCCTTTCCTAACTTTAACACCCAAAAGAAAAGGTCACCACATTTTGGTGTTCAATTATCATCAAATAAACACGCTATCGAACGTTTTTCTTCCACTTAACACCTAAAAAAAGGTCACAACTGATCTACGCGTATAAATGTTATTAAAAATAAATATTGAAAAAAATCTTTATTGACATGCTATAATGGGTAACAATAATATCAGAGAACAAAAATTTTACAATTTTTGTTTGTTTATCTTTGATTTTATTTATTCATTAAAATTCAATGCGCTTTATGTTCTTGAATATTGTTTGATAATTCATTTAAGTCCGGTTGTGTTTGGGATACTGAGATCCTAAACAAATTTTGTAAATTTTCATCCGTCAACCTTGTTCTATACATATTTTGATTTTATGAAATTAATTATTGAAAATGTTCGCATGAATAGGTGCTTGAAAAATATAAATCAATGATGTTGCAAAATGTCTTAAATTGGTAAACTTATTTTCTGGTAGATTTCAATAAAAGTAAATTAAATTATTTTCATCAAAATTATTTTACATACATTGTTAGATTGCAAATCAATTAATTCTAGTTGTAAATTCTCTGGTGCTTTTACAATATCAAATCAATATCTTTTGCATAAAAATCTTGAAACCGACGACGAAAATTCTCATCCAGTACTTTTAGTGCCTGAAATATTCGAAGAACATTGTCGTTTTTGGTTAAAATCGATTGCAAAGTAGGAAAATGACAATAATTATTCTTTTCAAATTGAGAAGTAAACAATGGATTGATTGAGGTTTGATGGACCACCACTTTTGTTTAAATAGGTTTATTGTAAGTGGAACAAAGACTAGTTTACGGTACTGGACAATTACGATCACGATTACATCACGAATAAATAAGGTCTGTCGCCCTACGCCGTCTCGACTTTTGTCGCTTCCGCCCTTGCGTCATGCGCACGACAAAGCAGTTCCCGATAACTAAACAACGTGTTTTAAGCTAGATGGCGCGACAATACATAAAAATAGAATAATTTATAAATCTAAAATTTAAATACAAATTAGAGCAAACAAATGTCAGATAAATCTTAAACAAACAATTTTACTTTAAGCTGGAAACTTTTGATTTCTGTAAATATCGCCTTGATTAGCTTTCCTTTGTCTAGTAGCGTTACATTTAAATTATTGAGGCAAGTTGTGATGTCCACAAGAAAAGCTAACGATAAGCTTATCCATTTAAAATTCAATAATGCTGGTACATTATTTCCTTGTTCTGTCAAAAACATTTCATTCTCGTCTATGAATTCGAAAAATTTTTAAAACTTTCCCACGGCTGAGCCATCTTACTTCAGAAAAGTGATATCTTCACATTTTGCGTCAAGTTCTTTTAAGAAATCCCGGATTGTTCAATGGTTCATACCGTTTTTGCGAATATAATTGATAAACTTTACTACAATATTTATAACATTTTCAAAATTTACAACTTTTGCATAAAGTGCAAAATACAATGAAGTTGCAGAAGAGGGTGTGTAATATTTAATTCGTTAAATTTTTTATTAATCATGCCTACCAAACCAGTATTGTGACCCGTCATGTTCTTTGCACCGTCAGTTGTCAAATTTTTTAATGTTCCCCGTTTGAGATCGTACATGTTGAAAACATCTAATAGTTGCAGAAATATATCTTCACCTCTTGTATTCCCATGGAGGCTCTTTAATGCAGCAAGTTCTTCTGTTGCATGAAATTGATTATCAATGCCACGGATAAAAATCAACAATTGAGCGGGGCTAATTATATCGTTGCTTTCATCAAGTGCTTAAGGATTTTCTGCATAAATATAAAGCGTGGCCCATTTTAAAAGAACCAATCCAATATTGGCTGCCAGAGTTGCCCAAGCCATAAACTTTTTAATCATTCGGTTTGTGTATATTGTCATTTTAAATGATGCGTGCCAAAACAGTCTATACCTTCAATTAGTCGTGTTTGGTGCTGCCATTTGCATGAATTTTAGGCATTTATGTATAATATACACAAGTGAAAATCCAAACCTACCTATTCAACAAACACTATGACATCTACTGACTCAGATTTCGGGTGAGAGCCTAGTATTTTTAGACATAGAGAGAGACAGACAGTGTTCAGTCCTGTTCAGACAGAAAAATAAAAAAAATCAACTTTAATGAAAACTGTTTAATTAAGACATTAATTTAGGATTACAATAGTTATTTAAATTAGTATACCTATCTAATCTAATACTATGAAATGAATGTGAAATGAAATGAAACGAATACATGAAAATCTAATGAATGGCTCTATACTCGCCCAAATATCAGCTCTACGTCGCATTCAAAATCGCTGACACCTCGTGCTGCCAATTTCCGCTCCACGTTCTCACTCCAGTCTCATCCAGACTGTGCCAGTCTATCCAATTGACAATTCGAGTGATTGAAATCCCCAGCCCCAAAGGCAGCTGATGGTCCTACAAGCGAAATCCAAGCAGGCGAGAAAAATCTACAAAAGACTGCACGAAGATGGCGCACTCATTGGTCAAATTTGGTCTTGACGACGATTGAGCTGGGTATATCAGTATATGCAATGTTCATTGGCTCCTACCTATCACGCAGATGTCTGAGAGTGGAGTGTTGTGGTCAGACCTCGTTGCGCTTTGTGGGAACGTCGGGTGTGCCACAGGACAATGCCTTGTGTCCTTTGTTGTTCAACTTGTTTATAAGTGACATTGTTGCTGATGTTTATGTTAGTGTCCTTTTATGTGGACGACATGACGCTATTCTATAGGATAACCTCTCTTGATGACTCGGCTAACCACATTAACGCCCTCGAAGTCGTTCAGAGACGTTTTCTAAAATACTTAAATTACCGTACACATGGAATTTGCCCACCTATTGGAAACTCATTTTGAACTTCTTCGGAATAATTTGTTCCCATCTCTTCAGGATCGACGTACACTGGTTGAAATTCGTTTCTTGCGTGGTTTGATTCGTGGCTCCATCAATTGTCCGATCATACCTAATGAACTTACGTTTCTTACTCTACGGTGTCTATTAAACATCTCGACGATGGATGGCATCATAAGATTTATAGGTATAAATCTCATCAGCGTGTGTAACATATGTTACCAGCGAATAGACCGAAACTGTTGGAATGTGACTTTGCCAGTTGGGTGAACTTAACAGAAATTCCTAAAAAAACGCATAAATTATAAATTAACCTGCCTAAAACAAATGAACCTATTCACACTCGACCAGAAACAGATAAATTGTGTCCAACAGTTCTACACACCATAACGATTTGCAAGGAATGGGATTTCGATTACTAAAATTACATTTATAAACGTTGTCATGTCATATTGGCATGGTGATAATAAACAGCTTAGATAATGGATTTTAAGTCGCTGCATTACTTTTTTCATGAATAAAGTACAGTACTAAATTAGTTCACACTAGGAATGTTCGGTATTTAACGTAACTACTAAAATAACAGTGTTCCAAATGTCTAACCTGAAACCGTAGTTACAGCTAGCCGATTTAACAGTTTTTTTTGGAACCGTCTCATAAAACCGAAACAGCGGTGCGCACTTCGGACACCGTCGAGCGATTTATCCAGCTGCAGCCGTTTGCCAACTTAAACCGTTGTTTTTGGAACCGTCTCATAAAACAGAAACAGTTGTGCGCACTTAAATGGTGATTACTAATAGAGGAACCAGCAAAAATTTGTTTAGTTGCTGCGATGATATAATTCCGCAATTTTTAATCTAGTATTTAGTTTTCTGACATACTGTAATAAATCTTGATAAAAAGGGATTTCTCTCAAGAAACTTAGCTCGGGAGTTATATGCCTTTTACCAGCAAACTAAGCAGAATATGCACTTGCATATGAGTTAAGAGTCTAAGACATAAATTCCATCATAGATTAAATGTAAAATGACAAACGTTTTAAGCAGAATGTGCACCTGCATTTAAGCAAGCTGGCCATTTTTAAATATAAATTCAGTCAGAGATGAAATGAAAGTTATTTGAATGTTAATACGTTTACGTTAAACGTTGTAAGGTCGACATATTTTTGTAAAATTATTTTTTGGTGGTACCAAAATTAACTCGAGGAAAGGCCTATTTATAAACTTGACGTTTGCGTTCACCGTTACCGTTTGGGTCGAAATTCAAGTATTGAATTACCTAACATCCATTTATAAACACCGCTGGCCGGTACCGTTTCCGTTCCGTGCCGCTCGATATAAACCAATTTTATTTCTTGCCGGTGAACGTTCGTAGAACAGCAGTAGTACTGACGTACCAACCAATCTGAATTCAGTATTTGGTCGGACCAAATCAGCTGATTCAAAACATTCAATAACAAGAGGCAAGATTTTAGGTTAAAAATTCGACTGACGGCAAACGGTAACGGCAAGTATATAAATCGCCTTTTGTAGCGCAAAGGGCAATTGTCACCGCAAACGGCAACGTCAAGTTTATAAATGGGCTTTAATACTTTGCCCAGGCTTGCCAAACACGCATTTCTGTTTGTTGTTATTGTGGATTATTTAATGTGATTGTGAAACGAAATGCGAGAGATTATTTTCTAAAGCGGGTGCTATCATAAACGCGCCAAGAACTAGAATCAGTAAAAAGCATCTGGAAAAAATTGTATTCTTAAATATTAATTCATTTTTGTTCATTCAACATTTACGCATATAAACCGTATATTTTATTTAATCACTCTAATTTATTATCAGGTTTTTGTTCTTTAAGTAGTTACTTCTGACCATGTTTTGTTTTTAATTTTAGAAGATTTTATTTTACGTTTACCAATGTTAAGAATTGTTTTTAATAAATGAAATTATTATATATCATCACTATTTCTACTATCATCATCATTCTCCATTTTTATGAAAAATTTAAAAAGTAACATGTTCGATTTGGAACCGCATTTTGAAACCTATTACCAAGGTGAAACTGGAACGTTGTAACCAGTTACAGAAAAATAACCGTTTATCACACCTCTAGTTCATACTAACTAGAAACTTGTATTTTCAAATGAGTATAAGTTTGTAATTTGTAACTATCCTACACTGCACGAGATAGCGCGCACTATTCAGTGAATTAATTAATTCGAATGATTATATTGATTACAATTATTCATTTAGTAATTATTCGATAGTGCTCATCATTTGTTTTCGGCATTGTGCCACACCTGCCTTCAACTTAATTAGCCCATATATAACTTTATACTTTTTCATTTAGAATTAAATGCTGAATCGGATTTTTTAGTAAAAAGTATACCAATGCGTTTGAAAAATTGACCACCTGACGTTAACAGCATCATCTATAAAAAAATTGGTATCACATTCGGGTTCCCTCAAGCAATTTCACAACATGTATATCACATTTTCTTGTATTTGCTATAACTTACAATATATTTGACTGATTCCATTACAATGGGCCACCCTGTAGATACTTCTTGAAATGTTTATTTTTATTTTTAAATTTTTCATTTTAAGGAACAATTCAACTATATATATACCGGAAATATGGAACAGAAGTATCACCAGCGCACTTGCCTAAATCAAAGCTCTATTGTTTACAGATAGTTATTACTGTATGCTTGCCGATTATTAATGTAGTTAGACTTATATTAACGGCAACAATATTTGAAGACTCGGCAGTTTATGGATACATGGTAAGTAACCCAATTAAACTATTTATTATTACTATCTGGTTTACTGATTGTTGATTTCTACTAACTGAATATTTGTTGTTTATTTCAGATTACATACCTCTTTTTGACAATATTTGCATACCTTTATTCAGGATGGATAATCAATATCGAGCGACATTTCCTATTGCCATCAGTGCCAACCAGAGGCCATGGGGTAGTATTATTATTGTTTTGGACGCTAGTATTTGTTGCAGAGAATTTAGCGTTTTTGAATCTAAACCAAAAAGATTGGTGGTTTCAACTGCAAGGGTGAATATAAATTTATTCAAATAATAGTTCTTACGTAAATCTAGTTTTGAACAAAATGTTAATGTATTTCCTTACACATGGTGGCCAATAACAACATTAATGGCTTTGCATTAAGCGGTGTGACTCCCCCCACACCCTTTATTTGACAAGTTAGAAAAAAAGTTCATAAGGAAACTAGTACGGTTTTTATGATCTTTTGACTAAACTTATAGGTGTTTCACTGATCGGGACAATTTCTGTATAAAATCGACTTTTCAAAATACCCTTTGCAATTACGCCATCTAGCGGTCATCTAAGAAATTTCAAAATAATTTCCAGCAAATCTTTTTCTTCGAGTTTGTTATCAATTTTTTTTCCCGAACACCACAACAAATACTTTCCAAGATACAGCCGTCTACCATCACGTATCTCCTTGTCTGATACCTCTCATGACTTCAATGTTGTCTGTTTCTTCGTGAAGCTTTATTTTTGCCTTTGATGATGGTCTATTCGCGCTTTGTCTAGTTCTTCAAATATAGCGCTATATTCTTTGCGGAATACGGCTTATTATATCGATTGGTAGGCATCTAGCTTATTTGTAATTCTGTTGGTTGTGATTCAGGTAAAAAGCTTATACGTTTGAGACAGCAAGCTAATGAGTCTATAGTTTTCCAGCATTGTTCGATCTATTTTTTTAAATAATATAACTATTATTGGCTCATTTCAATTCGTGGGTATTATTTATTCCATACAGGGGTTCAAAAGGTGCTTTAGCTGCGGTATGACAATTTATTGGCCTCCCTGATCATTTCCGCGATTATATAATCTCCGCCTGGTGTCTTGTTTTTCTTGATTGAATTTATAGCATGTATAATTTCTTCCTCGTTCACTTCTGGTATCTCTTGAGAGCCAACGTTAACTACTTTTCCTTTGTTTTGGTTTCCTGGTGGTCTTTCTGTTCTTGGTAAGTAAAGGTCTTGATAGAACTTATTGGCTATTTCTTTAATTTTGTCTCTGTGTCTTGTTTCTTACTTAGGCATTAAAGGTTTTTCAACCGTTTCGTCCGTATTCAACGTTTGATTTTCAACGTCGGTCGATTCTAATCACTAAAAAAAGCGTTGCACGTTGCCGCATGGTAAACTTCGAAACTGCATATTTGTAAAAAGATGTTTATTACATTTGATAATTGCAGCACTGTATTGCTACTGTGCCAAAATTTATTTATGGATGTGTGGCATCTTGCTTCACAGAGTTAAATGACTTGCTTTCAAAAATTGTTTCAAAAAGACAATTTATTTTGAAACTGCAGGTACTAACAACCGTGGGGGTTCAAAATGTCTGTTGGCAATATCTACAATAACAATAAACACTACAATAGGGAATCAATTAGCAACTGACTAAAAAATTGATAAAAATGGTCTGATTATTTACTGCTAGACGTAAATATACCTATCTATTACGGGAATCATAAAATAAAGGGTTGGATATGGTTTGTATGACCAAAGTGTCCGTGTAACAAATCTGAAGGGCACTAATAAAATACCAATATCGGTCATTCGACTTTCGTAAGATTTGCGACTAGAATGAGTACTTGAATAACTGATCCGAAGGAACGAGCATTGAATCCAAAAGTAACTGTCGGTATATACGAATATTCAAAAGTAATCAAATCTCACACCACTAGTATATGGGCTCTAAATAAAGTGGAAACCCACAAACCTAAACCGAAAACCGAAAAACCCACAAACCTAAAATAGGTGTCTTTTACTGATTATCATCACGGTCACTTATTAACCACAACATACTTGTATGCGTTTTAACTTGTTTTTCATTTATTTTAAGGGTTATACATACTAGTCTTTTTGATATTCCCGTTGTGGTCTCAATTTTTGGGATTATTGATTTTTTTATTAGAAAGCCTACTGACTGTCTGTATCATGACTTTTATAGAATACAGAATTTCCAGATTGCAACACAAGCAGATCTTTTCTTCTGACTTCCGGAAGACCAATTATGTCTCATTCAATATCCCTTGCTTTGTTTTCCAAGTCGAAGACTTTCTCGTCCTTTAGTAGTGCTCTGCAATTGTATGTGGCGATCATAATTTTTGTTTTTGCCAATTTCTTGCCTCCACCAGAATCCATGAGGCATACTGAATCGTTTTCAGTGCGGGATTTTGGGCCTTCTGCCCTACCCGCCTGGGTTACTTTATTCTTAGAACCTGGCATTTGCATTTTTTCAAAGGAAAAATAGATTTAAATGATGTATAAATCTAAGAAAAATAAACATGTGAAAAATTTGTGGTGAAAAAGAAATGCACCTCATGAAAACTGTATTTTAAGTTTCTACACTACTTAGTTTGGGAGAGATCACATGTATAATTCAAATGCAAACATTTACTTTTTCAGCATTACGAACAAGATTCAAATGTCTTTGTTCGTTGTGAGATATGTTTTAACCCTGGTGCTTTTTGCGTTGGGGCTGAAAGCTCCCGGAATAATTCAAAATATAGATTATTTCAATTTAAATGATTCCACCAGAAACTTAGTACCCGTAAGTTTGTTAGTTATTATTATATTAGTTATAAATATATGACCTTCGACGCTTATCGTGGATTTAAAGCTAAAAGTGATCAAGTCCAAAATTGCCGTATTTGTGTTTGTTCACCAATTTAAGAAAATAATATGTTTGTCTTCAAAAACTAACGAAGCTCCCCAAAGCCACACAAACAAGTGCAATAAGATATATTTTTAATGACCGAGTTTCCAAAGGAATTCTGATATAATTGGTTTAAAAGTATATTTACCCAAAATTGACATTTTAGACTTGGCCAGTTTTAGCTTTAACCCCACGATGTATGGCGTAAGTTTATTTAATTTATGCGATTTAATTAGTTTTATTTTATTAAAAAGTTTTTTTTATTATTCCATCTAATTTCTTTATATTTAGGAAACAATGTAATTCGCCATTACTTCAGTTATGCAAAATAGTAGTTTTCGATAAATTGTAAAACTACTGCAAACATTTTCAAATTATTTTGTCTCCAAAAATTACACATTAGAATCTATGACCTTTGTAATACTGCAAATCTATTGTCAGCTAAGGTTATATTTACCCGTCATATAATTTTCCTTTGTCAAAATTTTTATTTGCTTTAAAGTAATGAGAAAAATCAAACAAACTGGAAGAAACTTTAAAGTGATAACCGTTCTGGTATTTGATTCGGTAAATATAGTTTCGTATGGATTTGTAGGGAACTAACGAAAATGAATCCACATGGAGGAATTTTTGGAAGAAGATGAAAACTTTGATGCCGTTTATGTGGCCAAAAAAGGATTGTGCATTACAATTACGGGTTGTATTTTGCTTTTTTCTACTAGCTGGAGGAAGAGTGGTTAATTTGTATGTTCCACTCTACAACAAGCTTATTGGTGAGTATTATATTCAGCCAAAGTAACAAATTACTGCAAAATAATTTACAAAAGTAAACAAGCGTATCGTTATACTTTATAACAAGAAAGTAAATTGATTTCCCATATTGACAAAAATTGTAAGTTACATCAAATTTTAATTACTAATGAAAAAACTTTAATACCTGTTCTGCACCTTCGAATTATTCTCATTTTCAGCAAAATTCAACGAAAATTATCTTTAATTGCTATTTGATAAGTCAGTGACTTTTTTCAACGAGACAAAAAACGTTTAATTTTTCAACATAATCTCCTTTTAGCTCGATACACAGTCCAGCGTATTTCCATTTTTTTTCTCCTCGTATTTACATTTATTATACGAGGGTCGTGTGATAAGTCAGTGACTTTTTGAAAGAAAGAAATGTTTTTTTGTAGGCCAAAAACCGTTTTATTTCTCAACATAATCTCCTTTTAGCTCGATACACTTAGTCCAGAGGCTTTCCAATTTTTTATCCGTTCCAAATAATAGAATTTCTCGAGGTCCTCAAAATATGCGTTTGTTTCAATGATGACCTCTTCATTGGATCCAAATCTCTTACCGCTTAGCCATTTCTTCAGGTTTGGAAACAGGAAATAGTCATAGGGGGCTAAACAGCACTTTTTTTCGCCAAATGCGGCCGTTTTAGCCTCAAGTCACCACCGAATCTGTCCAAACGCTCTGAATAATATGCGCCAGTGATCGGTTTACCGTTTTCAAGGTAATCGGTATGAATGACACCGCGTGTATCGCAAAAAACTGTGGCCATAACCTTGTTGGCCGACAGACCCATTTTCACCTTCTTTGGTGCTCGTTCACCTGAAGACATCCACTGTTTTGTTCTTTGGTCTCTGGTGTGTTGTGATTGATCCACGTTTCGTCAACGGTTAGGATTGCGATGGAAGATCGTTAAACGTCGCAATATTCGTCGCAATACGTCGCAAAAACTCGTTAGGATTGCGATGGAAGATCGTTAAACATTAATTTGAAATAATCACATGGGAGCGCTTATGGTCGGGTGTCAGCAATCGCGGCACTCATCGTTCAGATATCTTTTTCATGTCCAAATATTCGTCTCAGCCATCTCACGCACTTTTATTATCCGATCGTTTAGTATCGTTCTATGGATTTTATCGACCAATTCTGGCGTAACAACCTCTTTTGGACAATCTGAATGTTCTGCGTCATTTGTGCTGGTACGACTACAGCGAAACTCAGTCTACAAACAGACGACAGTTGACGGGAGTAGTGTAGAATTGAAAAGTTACTGCGCGGGAAATTCAAAGTCACTGACTTATCAAACGACCCTCGTATTATCACTATCAAAATTGTTGATTTATTATTTTGTGTTGTTATAATTTTATATTCCTCACTTCCTACAGTTTTCGGCCATTATTATTATTCTTTGTGCATCAATCGTAATAGTGACGTTTACGATTATCATATTTTTTGGATGAAAAAATTAAGATTCTTTTTTCTTTGGACGCACCAGGTGGACCTGGCAAAACGTTCCTTATTTCTCTCATTCTTATGAATGGATGGAGGCAGAACAGCTCATTCACTATTTAAGCTGCCACTAAAATTTCTAAATAACCTAGATACAGTGTGCAACATAAAAAGACATCGTCCATGGCCACAGTGCTCAATGAATGCATATATTGCACACAAACATTCCCTTGAGACGTTGAACAGGCCATTGAGATATCTTAAAAACAACGACAAACTATTTGGCGGCACTCTGGTACTCCTGATTTCACTTTGAAACACTTCCAGTGATTCCACGTTCAACGTATACGATCAAATCAACGACTGCTTAAAATCATCCCCACTGTGGGGTAATCACATTTAGGAATGTTTAAAAATTACAGCTAAAAGTGAATATGCGCGTTCAAATCCTTCGAGATCCACCTGCTGAAACATTTTTAAAACAACTGTTAGATATCGGCGAGGGAAAATTTACTGCACAATCCTTGAGTCGCAAGATGTTCTCATTAATGAAATATTCCCCGATTAATCATTAATCATCCAAAGAACATATGCTCTTTGGATGCTGCAGATTTACGGAGCACGGGCTACAGGCAAAAACTGCGAGAAAATGCAAATTAAACAAAAGTATAAAATCTATACTATAAAATGCTGGAGAATAGAGAGAATTGGGTAAAGATAACAGAGTTCATGGAAAATGCTGTCGAAATAAAAGAACAAGAAGAAAAAGCTATGCAGAAAATTGCAAGGTCGGGCACCAACCGAAGGATAGTCCAAAGGAGCCATGCCGGAAGGTGTCGGGAGACCAAACGGGGGTGATGTTGTTTAGTGGGTAGTGGAGTATCACAGTCCAACAGTGGCCCTGAATACCACAGTACCTGGGAGGACCAGAGTTCTAAGTAAATGTAGTTTACACCCCCCACAAAAAACATATACAGGGTGGTCCTCAACTAATGTCTAAAAATCCACTATCAGTTTGTTTAGGCAAAAATATTGCGTTTTAAGTAAATTTGTCATATGCGAAAGTTAATAGATTCCGAGTTACAGGGTGTCAAAAGTGCAAATAAAAATTTTGTTTTTTCTGAATAGATTTTAACCAGTTTTTACTAGTACCCTAAAAATTTGTGTTTGGGGTTTTTTTAGATAGGCAAATCCAAATTCCCTATTGATTGGCTTGTAGTTTCTAGAGGGCGCTAGCTGAAATAGCCTGGAGCCATTTAAAACATCAAAATTTTTTCGGTTGTAATATATCGCTTTTTTGTTGGCAATATCTGGTTCTACAATATTTTCGAAACCAAAAATGCGTACTTGATTCAAGTCGATATCTGTCACCGTTTTCGGGATATTTATTTCACATTGAAACATCTAGTCATTTTTTGAACTAGCTCAAATTAGATCCTTAATATTGTCGTAAATTGACATATTACTTTAAAGTAGTTCTGAACGCGCCTAAATAAATACTGTCTAATGTTTGTTAAGTTTTAATAGAAATTAATTAGAAGAAATTAAATAGAAAATTTGCGTAAAAAAAATCTTTTATTTAGACATTTGAGATAGATTTCCAATTAGGCCAAAAAATCACTATATGTTTCAATGTGAAATATCTCCTAAACGGTGAGAAAGATCGACTTTGAACAAGTACACATGTTATGTTTAAAAAATATCGAAAAATGTGATTTTAGCAACCGTATGACGATATTTGAAACGCCGAAAAGTGCTGATGTGTTAAATGGCTCCAGACTATTGCAGCTTGCGCCCTCTAGAAACTACAAGCCAGCCAATATGAAATTTGGATTTGCCGATCTAAAAAACCGCCAAACACAAATTTTTGTGATTCTAGTAAAACTGGTTCAAAATCTATTCAGAAAAAGCGAAATTTTTATGTCGGAATCTACTAACTTTCAGATAAGACAAATTTGCCTCAAACGCAATATTTTTGCCCAAACAATGTTAGTGAATTTTTGGACATTAGTTGAGGTCCACCCTGTATTTTCCCCGATGTACATACACAATTTATTAATCATGAGTGGCTGGCGGAAAAAGCAATTTTAGCAGCCAGCAAAAAATGTGGACATCAATGAATTAAATCTCAAAATACAACATTTATTGCCAGGGAACTTGGTGTCATACAAATCTATTGATACAATTTGCAATGAGGTGAAAATATATTACTGCCACGGATCCCTAGTATACCCACAGATGTGCCAATTCAATTTATTCTATTATTAAGTCTTCAATTTTCAATAAGATCGACTATCAATAAGTCTCAATGCCAAACGATGTCTGTTTGTGGCTTAGATTTGAGCACACCATGCTCTCGAGTGGGCAAACCATCCAGTTTGTTTGTGTTAGCTAAAGATGGGATTGCAACAATTTTTTTACACTATTGCGTTAAAGGATTGATATCGTTTTTAGTAAAGTTATTATAATTAGTGATAAATATATATTTAATATATAAAGAAAAATTAATAAATGACAATGAAATATAAATGTTTGGTATTGTGTTATTTTTATACTTCATCATCGTTCACAGCGCTCCATGCTTCTTCCACTCATATATACCATCCCCACACACTGACAATTAGTTAGTCATTTTTTTCTAATGAAATAATCCTAGGAGTAATTTTTATGGCAAAACAACGTTTGACGGGTCAGCTAGTAATAATATAGAAATACTTTTACTATTTATAGCATCACTAGCAGATACCAAATAAACACGATGATTTATTGTTATATTATTTTAGTAAATTCGTTGTCTAATGATAATGGTCAGAGTCCTAGCTTCAGATGGGATTGGATTTTAATTTACGTTGCTTTCAAGTTTCTTCAAGGTGGTGGAACCGGAGGTATGGGATTGTTAAACAATTTGAGATCATTTTTGTGGATAAGAATTTCTCAGTATACCACCAGAGAAACAGAAGTAAGTTACTCTTATTGACAAGTGGTATTTTAGTGCCCTACTTCCACTGTAGTGAAGACATTTTTATACTAGACTGTTTACACTATTTCTTAATCACTGGCACGAGGAAATAATTTAAATAGGATAATGTATTTGATTAACCAGAACAAAATTTGTAGGTAGAACTTTTCCGGCATCTGCATAGCTTGTCTCTCAGATGGCATTTGAGCAGAAAAACGGGCGAAGTATTAAGAGTTATGGACAGAGGAACGGATAGTATCAACAATTTGTTGAACTATATATTTTTTTCAATTACCCCAACTTTAATAGATATTGTCATAGCTGTGGTATTCTTCTGTACCGCCTTTAATGCTTGGTTTGGATTGATTGTATTTGTTACTATGATGTTGTATATTGGTAAGTATGTTTTTTTTAATAGCTACATTATTCGGAAAAATATTTTTTTATTAGGCGCTCTGTAGGGTGTTCGGAAATTATGCGTAAAAAAATGAAGACGTGATTGTACATATGAGGGTGTTTCCTCATAAGTTGACACCCCGTTGATCGTTTATTTTTAAAAAATTGTGAAAGTGACCAACACAAAAGTTGTTTAATTTTACTCAATTTTTTTAAATCTGAATTTAAATTAGAAATATGAAACACATAAATGTCAAAATTTGACATAAACTATTTTTTCTTAAATTAAACTTTCTATTTATTATTGGACAGGTCGATTTTATTTTTTACTGACTTCAGAATTATATATGTATACATATTGCCTAGATTTATATTAGCCATTTTTAATGTATTATGTTTAAAAAAATTTAAATACATAGTAACAAATTGAAGTAGCCTGAAATGAAATGAAATAAATTTCAAAACAAATAAATAAATAAAACCAGAATCATAAAATAGCTGATTTTGTATATGACCTCCGTTTAACGCTAGACATGTTCTATAATCTACTTCAATTTTATTTATAACGTTTCGGATATATTGGATATAATTAATATTAATATCGTTAATTGCATCCACCATTTTGAGACGTTTAACTATATTCGCATATACAATATTTTTTAAATACTTCCAGAGAAAAGAATCAAGAGGCATTAGGTCGCGGCTATTTGGAGGCTATTGGATAGCATTTTTCTTTTTTACATTACATTTCATTTTTTACAAATTGAGTAAAATTAAACAACTTTTGTGTTGGTCACCTTCACAATTTATTTGAAATAAACGATCTAGGTGGGTTTCAACTTATGAGGAAACACCCTGTACAATTAATCTCAAGGGCATATAACAGTTTTCTGAAATCTCAAAAATAGCACGCTGATTTTTTTTAAATAATAGTAATTCAATATTTTATTTGCTTATTTATAGACTGTTTTAAAATTTGACATACATGTTGCAAACGATGCTGAGTATGAATTATCAAAATTTGATATTCACCACTCAATGTCCATGACCCGAACTCACCATTAATGTGAAGTAAAAAGCTAAGAAGCGTAAAGTTTTTAAAACATTTTACTTATAATGCACAAAACCAAAGAACCTATAAAAACAGAAAAAGATGTACTTATTGTACCTCTCTTCATAACAAATATTATGTATTTATTTCATAGGCAAAATTTATTAGCATTTGCGAGGTGTAATTATTTACTTCTAGCCATAACCATTTGGGTTACTGAGTGGCGCACAAAATTTATTAGAAGAATGAATTTGGCTGACAATGAAACCAGAGCTCGTAGTGTTGATTCTTTGTTGAATTTTGAAACGGTCAAGTACTATGGTGCAGAAACGTACGAAGTGGATGCTTTCAGAGAAGTTATTTTTAGGTTTCAGGTACATTGTCTTCACTTTTATTCAAATAGGAATAGTTTACGCCAATTTTACTTTTCAGGGCGAAGAATGGAAATCTAATGTAACTTTGAATGTACTTAATACAGTTCAAAATATTATTATTTGCACTGGTTTACTAGGAGGAAGTCTACTTTGCGCCTACCTAGTAGCAGATAAGCATACCCTTACATCTGGTGACTACGTTTTATTTGCTACTTACATTGTTCAACTTTATGTTCCACTGAACTGGTTTGGCACCTATTACAGGTAAATGATGATAATATTACAGAACTCATAAATTAGTTGGTTTTGGATATACAGAAAATTTGTTTTCTTGAAGGTCAATTCAGAAAAACTTTATTGATATGGAAAATATGTTCGATCTACTTAAAGAGGAAAAAGAAATAATTGATGCCCCTGGTGCTGGGCCTTTAGTGGTTAGAAGGGGTGCAGTCGAATTCAGTAACGTCAGTTTCAGTTATGTTCCTGAGAGACTAGTACTGAAAAATATTACGTTTACTGTGCCATCCGGAAAATCAGTTGCTTTGGTTCGTAATACAATAACTTTTTATTATGATATATGTATTTTAAAACTCTGAAATTTTAAGTCACACGTGTGGAAGTTTAGTATGCACGCCTTAAGAGCACTTTTACCACGATATTCATTCAAAACTGTGTCTTTCTAACCATTTCACTTAAATCTGTTTCATTTGTCTGAGTAAAGTCAGATTGAAGCTGCTACGTACAAATAAATAATAAAATGTAATTTTTTTTAGTTTTTATTATGTTAACAGTTGATTTATTATATGTTGTATGTGGAAAAAGTTGTTTTTTTTTATAGATTTTTATTTATTTTAGGTGGGACCATCGGGTAGCGGAAAAAGTACAATAATACGATTATTATTTAGATTTTACGACGTAGAAAATGGTGGCATTGTAATAGATGGTCAGAATATAAAAACGATTACCCAGGAATCTTTGAGAAGAGCCATTGGTGTGGTACCTCAAGACACTGTTTTATTCAACAACACTATAAAGTAAGTCATGTTATTTCGTCAAATGTTAACCGAAATTGTATAAATTGTTATATAAAATCCTTACACCCAATAAGCTTTCTTACGTCCTCTATTGGAAATTTAAATGTACAAATGTAAAATGGATGAATTGTTTTGAATTATCTTAAAAAGCTAATAATAGTATATTATATTCCTGGGGCGAGAAGTGAGCTATTATACAGGCTGTCCCACCGGTGACCCCCGCGATCGATATGTGGCAAACTATAATTAGGATATATTTGAAAATTGGAGAGTATGCCAAAGTCATTGGGGGCAAGCGATCTAAAATATTTTCAAGGTGGCCACATTTCCGGTTAGACCGGAAGTAGATAACTTGCTGATTTTAAATGGATCACGCAATATATTATTACATTTTTTAATTCTTCACCAAATTCTAAATATATTTCATGTATAATATATTATACCTAAACCTAACCGTTTTCGATATATTTGAAATTTTATCTAAAAAAATCAGTTGCAACCACTCGAATAATTATTGGTTTTTCCTATAAGGGAATATGTTCTATTTAATTTGAGTCGCATCTCTTGTTGAAAAGGTCTTACTTTAATGGAATTTCCACAACATTTTGATAACTATTAATACAAAATTTTAACAAAATTAGTTTCGAATTGACGTTGAGAAAACCACCCAAAATCTTTTTTTTTAATGGTAACTGACAGCTGTAATCATTCCTTTGACATTTTATTGGATTAAAAATGGCCACTTTCGTCATGGCAACTAAGAGTGACAGGATTTAAAATAAGATGCCAATGAAAAAAAAAATAGCCATATGAAAACATTAAATTGACAATAATTCGAAAACTAAACTCTTTTGGAATAGACAACCTTACATAAACTTACCCTTATTTTTAATACTAAATAATAGTGAATGAATAAGATAAAATTATCATAAATTGGTTTTCCCATTGGAAAAAATTGATTTTGGGCGGTTATCTCAACTTTATAGTGAAACTTTTTTTAAAATTAATTATGAAATCCCACACATTCTCTATTGGATTTAAATCAGGAGTCCTCGAGCACCGGGATGTGAGTTAATTTATTTTTCATTTTTCTAAATTTATGAACAGGGCAGTTGTCTTATTGGAAAATAAAATTATTGCTATTTTCAAAAAGTAGGTTTGCTGATGGAAGGAAAACGTTTTTGAATATAACTATAAGATTTGCTGTCCAACCTGCCGTCAATATTCCAACATAGGGCTCCACGGCAACTTAAGCTTCATTCATAGAAATCCTTCCGCTGTTCTGATGTTTTCTTCTGATGATTCTGATGTATTTGGATGCCGGAAGACGCAAACTTTGCCATTATGTGAGGACTGAAACACTTTTTCATCGCAAAAAATTATAGTATCCTAAAAGTTCGTATTTTTTATCAACTATGGCATATCCAACTCTTTCTTCATTATTTTGTTGATTTAAAAATTGTTTTGGTTTCACACGACATCTCCACTTTGAAAATTGTCTTACTCGACGCTACACAGTTCTTTGTGAAGCAGGGAAGGCTGTATTGTGTGCAGCTTCCACCGCCGTCAAAAAACAGATTTTCCTGAAGATGTGCGATGAGATCAGCGTCTTCAGCAATCCCGTGCCTATCGCGCGTTGTACAGTTCCATGTCCTCTCCATTTCTTTAAAATTTTATAAATAGTGCTCTTCGGTTTTCCAAATCTCTCAGTTACTGCACTTGTTGACCACCCTTCCTCCATTAAAGTAATTATTTTAATTTTTTCAAGTTCATTTGCATCTGGTTTGCAGTTTTGATATATGCAAATGTATTTGTCAGTTTTATGTGATTTATGCAAAGGTAAACCGAGGTGGAAAGTAAGATTTACACCACAACTATTTCATCGTCCATTTTTATGTGTCGCCAACTGTACTTTTTTTTATTATTATTGACCTAGGGAGAGAAATACGACTTCTTACTAGAGAACTGGAGTAAATAATGATTTTTCTAACTTCTCCCTAGCTTCTCAAGTTAGCGTAAACTAGTTAGTTACGTAACCGGTAGGATATGAATATTATTCACGCACGGATGTGAAGATTTGCACGACGAGGCTGTAGGCCGAGGCGTAGCCATTAATAATATAATGTCGTACGTGCTACTTACAATATTTTATCTACAACTGTAACGATTATTATTTTAATGATTATTTGAGTAAAAATAATTAGTAATAACATTGAATACAGAATCCAGGTAATGAGAATTTGTCATTGTCATCAGAATCATTGTCAAAGTTGTGTCTTAAAATTACACATTTTATAATGAGTTTAAGCGACGATCTGTCATGTGATATTGAGAACGAAGCATGTAATGGTGTTTCGGATCTTGTGCCAGAGAAACCACGTAAGAAATACCAAGATGCTTTTGGTCGGTACCATCAAATTTCGTGTTCGATGTTCTTTGTGTGTGTATTTTTCGTTCACCGCACCATTTCTATTACCGATCAAAAGCTTCTTGGTATTTCTTTTGTGATTTTCTAGCACAAGATCAGAAACAAAATTAAAAGCTTCGTTTTTAGTTTTAGATGGCATCGCTGGAACTTATTTGAAAATGTGCAATTTTAAGACTTCTTTCAACTTTGACAATGATCGGCAGACTTATTATCGGACTAGTGTGGTAATTATTTAAAAAAGCACTAGTGCGGTAAAAACATCGTTGTGACATTTGAAAGAGCGCCAAATCATAGTGATTATATAACAGTTTGTAGATAAAAATAATTTTTAATTTTTCATTTTGTTACAGGTATAATATTAAATATGGCAGAATGACTGCAACCGATGCTGATGTGATAGAATCTGCGCGGGGTGCTGATATCCATGAGAGAATATTAACATTTCCTGACCAGTATGAAACCCAAGTAAGTGCATTTTTTATGTATATTTCATATTCAAGTTTACGTCTCACGGTCTACAAACTGACATTAAAAATGCCAAAAAATCAGGTTTTTTTAATGGCATCAACTAACGAAGGTATGCTTAGCAGAGCTAAGCACCGTTACTGATGTAATGACATTAGATGTGTTGCGGCAGGTCAAGTTTTTAATCAAAACATTTTCCATCGGTATTTTTTGATTTTCCGATTTTGTGTGCCTTTAACGTGTTTGAGATCTGTGTAAAGACAATGTATTAGTGTGGTATATGCACATCTTGAATATCATACAGCTGGGGCACTCTCCATCGGAACACGGTTTGGCGTCGTTATACTCGCGCAGCCCGTAAATTCGGCTTCTGGACGAAAAAGGCGTGAGATCGGGGTATATTGAATTAGCCGCTCATAGTTGTAGTTGTTGTGGTAATAGGTATTATTAAATACGATCTATATTAGTAAATGCGATGCATACGATTAAATACGTTTCATTTTCCAAACCAATTTTGAAAGGTGTATCACATATACAGGGTGATTCAAAATTGGCGTCATTCCTTTTAAGGAGTTATAGAAGCTCACTTGGAGAGCACGAGAAAAATATAGAAAAATCTTTTTTTCGCAAATTTCTAGAAGATATTAATATTTTTTATATAGGAGAAACCTCAAGACCATTACAGAAAAGACTCAAAGAACACCAATCATACATAAAAAACAGAGAATATCATAAATCACACATTTGTCAACATGCATTTGATAATGGCCATAAAATTCAATGGAATAATTCCACAATTTTAACAAAAGAACAATCCACAAAAAAACGTAAAATTAAAGAAAGCGCACTAATTTTACTAAATTAAAATAATTGTGTTGCTTCATGTTCATTTAATTTAAGTCATACATGGTTACCTATGCTAAAATCTGAAGTAGACCAAAGAAACATACTCCCAAATTAAATTTACACCAAAATTATTAATTAACATTACTTTTATTAATTTAAACAATGAGATTAAGTCAAAGTCACATAACTGACAATTTGCAC